GCAAACCACTGTTAGGAGCCGTGAAGTGTGCACCCTTCCCCTGATAAATAGTCTGCATAGGCCCACACACAAAGCATGGCCCTCCCCTCTGCCCATTCCCTCCTTGTGCCCAGTATGGACTCCGCTCCAAGCCCAGGGGCACTGAGGTTATGGCAGGCGACTGTTCCCACAAACAATGCTGAGCAAACCTCTCTGTTTATATGTGTGAGGATGGATTCCTGAAAGGAGAATTGCTGGGCCCAAGTGAACGTGCATTTGTAATTTAGAATCTAATTGCCACATTGCTATCTTGTGAAGTTTAGCCGTTTGCTTTCCCACCGGCGGTGTATAAGCATGGCTGTTCTCCCACACTTTTGCCAACACAGGTATTCTGTGATTTAAAAAACAGACTTTTGTTGTTGATAGTACATTTTGTTATAGTTTTAATTTGTATTTCTCACTGTAAGAGAGGGTAAGGTAAGCATCTTTTTATGTTTTAAGAGCCGTCTGTACTTTCCCAATTTTTTCTGTTAAGTTTGAGGTAAATTGTAAATAGGGGCCTTACTTGTCTCTTACCCTCCTTTACCCAGTCTTTCTTCAAATTGCTCCTGGCTTAATATCAAATGAACCTAGAGGCTTCTGGGTGGCTCGGTCAGTTAAGTGGCTGACTCTTGATCTTGGCTCAGGTCATGGTTTCATGATTTGTGGGATGGAGTCCTGAGTCGGGCTGTGTGCTGACAGCAGATTCTCTCTACCCCTCTCCCCCGCTCAGGATTCTCTCCCTGTCTCCCTCTCTCTCTCCGTCTCTCTGTCTCTCTCTCCCTCTCTCTGCCCCTCTCCCTTTGCCCTTCTTCCACTCTCTCAAAATATAAATAAATAAACTTAAAAAAAAAAAAAAAAGCAAATGAACCCAACCAGACCATTTCTTGTGGCCCTGTACCTGTTGATGTAAATCAGAGAGTGAATTTACTTTTGTTAGGAGCCTGAGACCTCAGATGTTTAAAAGAAGCTTTGCTGATAAAAGAAGGCCCAGTGGAAGTTTGCAGCAGAGAAGAAAGAGGAGGTGGCAGAGAAGGGGGTTGGGAAGCAACCTAGTGGAAGGAGCGAGGGAAGGAAGTGAAGCAGGAGAGCCGGGAAAGGTACGGCTGGTGTCTTGCAGAGGGAAAGTCCCTCTGATGTAAAATTGTTAAGTTCCTGCCACGGACTGAGAAGTGTACTCGCTGAGTCTGCCCTTTGAATGGCAGTAAGTTCTAGCAAAAAGAAACAGGGAGAATGAAGTGCCAGCTTCTACTGAGGCTACATGGGAAGTTTTCTTTTGGTTGTTTCTGACAGCCTTGATGAAATCATTTAAAACAGTGAGTTATATGATAGGGAAGGGCAACCACTGAGTGACTTGAGTAGTGCAAAACAAATTGTCTAAAATTGTCATTCCTGGGGCGCCTGGGTGGCACAGTCGGTTAAGCGTCCGACTTCAGCCAGGTCACGATCTCGCAGTCCGTGAGTTCAAGCCCCGCGTTGGGCTCTGGGCTGATGGCTCAGAGCCTGGAGCCTGTTTCCGATTCTGTGTCTCCCTCTCTCTCTGCCCCTCCCCCGTTCATGCTCTGTCTCTCTCTGTCCCAAAAATAAATAAACGTTGAAAAAAAAAAATTTAAAATTGTCATTCCTAAGAAATAAAATCAACTGGGAATGGAATCTCTATGTAATCCAGAGGTTTATTTTGTGTAGTTGATTATGACATCTTAAGAAGAGGGGTTTTTATGAAATTTTTTTTGTGGTGAGATTGCTTTACATTTTTTTTTCTTTTCTTTCTCCAAAATCTGTTTATTGGGATAGTTTCCCATTCATGTTGATTCAGGGTGCTTTCAGTGCTGCTTCCGTCTGAAGGAGTGTCCTTCTGTGAGCCTTGCTGATCCTCTGTGGGCTGGCACAGGACGGTGGAGCAACCCACACACAACACCCACTTTGCACGTGTCTGAACACATGGTGATTTTGTAGCACCCTGGGCACCTCACGTCCAGGAAGTAGGAGCTGGGGCTCTGCACCAGGCACTTCTTGTGCTTCCTCTTGTCTTCTGAGGGCGGATGCAGGAGGCCCTTCGCCGAGGGGCCTGTTCTCCGGGGCAGGTCATCACTGCAGGAAGCTGTTTTACACTCCTTTCCATGACCACAAAGTCTCTTGTTTGAGGACCGACAGAGAGCTCCAGGAGCACGTGGCTTTCATTTTGTTGACACGTAATTTTCTCATTATGAACATTTACACATACTTTCATCAACAGCAGTCCTGTGTGGTCTGATCTTGTGGAGGAGAAAGGGTGTTCTCCTTTTCCCTTAAGGTGAGTGCTGTTGCCCCATAACCTCCCCCATGCCACCAGCCTGCTGCCTCGGGAAGAGTGAAAGAGCTGTCCAGGGGACTGCCAGCCCCTTGACTTACCTTGACTCCCCCGGTTGGACCCTGGCACTGTATTTGAACTGTATTTGTAGGCTTCCTTTTGTCCTTGCTGTTGACAATCAGTCCAGCCTTTGAAATCCTCATTGGTAGCTTGATAGATATTTTATTCAGCTGGATACCAGCTACGAGTTAAGCTCTGTAAAGTTGTTGATGCTATGCTTTGGTGATTGTTTTACACGAGGACTGGTCCTGAGCTTCAACAGGTGCTCCTCTTCAGCTGATAACAGCCGGAACCTCTTATGGAAGCTCTCATGGCCCCACGAATCTTGCTAGTTTTCTCATTCAGCTGGCATAAGGCATTTGTTGGTTTGTATTCATATAAAACAGCAGTAAGTAGATAGTTAAAATTTCCTTGAAAATCATGATCTAATAAGAGAAAAATTTTCTCTGTACTTGGGAGGCTTGTTGAGGCTTGGACATTTATCAGCTTGCTGAAAAGTGTCTCATGATATTTTTTGTGGCATTGGAGAGAATGAAATGAGGACAGGGGCCCAGACAGAGGATGCTGAGCCTGTTCCTGTTTCCCAGATAAGCAGACAAGGGTCTTGGGACCTTGTCACCATCTCATAGGTGTGACGCTCTGCTCTAAGTACAGACGTGACTGTGTGCATTCCCAGGAGTCCACCTGAGACACGAAATTCGTGGGGAAGTGATCCCAGGTCCTGTTGTGTGTGCGGACTGTCTGGCTGCCTACTTGGTGCAGGCCTTGTTCTCCTCTGAGGCTCTTCGCCCCTGCCTCCAAGCACTCCCCCGTTGCAGGTGTGTAATGATGCAATCACCACCCAGACTTCCCTTTTGGACATGGATCACTTGAATTCAGAGCAGGAATGAGAGGCCATTTTCCCTTGATTTCAGCTTCCTGTCTGAGACCCATCTCTTCCCAGGACGCTGAATATTTTCCACATTTAGTTAGAACATGTGGATACTTTGGTGACTCAGAAGATGTGCTAGTTGAGTAACACTGCATGATTTTAGCATATACATGCTGTATGATATCATGTAACTTCCTGGACCAGGTTTCAGGCTGAGCTGGATTTGAAGTGACATTTAATTCTCTTGCTCAGGAGCAGGAATAGTGGTCCATTGAAGCCCTCAATCAGAGTGCCAGTCCTGGCTCTCTTCGGGTGGGTGCATTTGCTGGAGAAGGCGGATGGGGAGAGCTTCTGGACAGTGGTGCTGCCTGTCTTGGTGGCTGGCCCGTGGCAGGGGTTCTGTAACTTGAGTGCCAGGATGAGAGCACACCCGTGGAGATCGCACTTAGCAAGAGTGGAGGCTAAGCCTCAGCCGGGGAATTGTGGGCCAAAGTGGGGCTCTTCAAAACAAGGAGCAGTACTGAAGGCTACGTGGGGGGCCTGGGGAAGGTAGGGAGGTGATGTGGGCTTGCTCTTGGTAATGGACTCATAGTACTGTTTTCATGTGGCTGTTTGGGTTGTGTTGTGTGGGGCACATGCTCACTCAGGCTGACTGTCTGAGGAGGGAGGAACACATTTATGTGAATATGTATGGTGCTCTGAGGGCTGTAGGAACGCAGGAATTGGCAGTCTAGAGAAGGCAAGGACCACACAGAGGTTGTAGGAGGCTGGGGGACCCTTTAGCAGTGGCTCTGCTTCCTCAGCTCAGGTACACCCTTATATTCTTGTTCCTCTCCTTCCACTTCTCTTCTTATTATGGTGCTTTCTCACCTTCCTAGAGCTCTTGTCTCATTTTGGGTTATTCACAGCCCCTCAGTACTCCTGGTCTATGCCATGACTTTGTGCTATACGTTCTTTCAAATTTAAGTTTTCTTATTTTTCTTAATTCCCAATCCCATGACTAGGACTCTTGGGAGCCTTCTGTGCTCAGCCCCCTTCTGGGCCCTGGGTTGAGCTATGGATTGGTGGCTCTGTGGTTAGCTAGTCTCTTTTTTGTGTAAAGAGCTCTGATAGGGTAGGAAGGTTTCATGGACCCAGTGTGAGGTGAGTAGTAGAGAGCACTCACAGCCTGCTACCCTTGATTAGGCTCATCCCCAGAACCAGGTTAAATAAAGAGTGCCAGGTGGGAAAGGTGAGCACTGGCATTGTCGGCACCTCACATTTCTTTTGCATTTGCGTATACCATCTAGTACTTGGTTCCTCCCTCCCTCCCTCCCTCCTTCCCTTCCGTCTCCCTTCCCCCTCTCCCCCCACCTCATGCCCAGCCTGGGGCTTGAACTCACAACCCTGAGATCAAGAGTCACATGCTCTACCTGCTGAGCCAGCCAGGAGCCCCTCTGTCTAGTACTTGGTTTCTTGATTTATGTATGAACTAATTAAATTTAGATGCTCAGGAAATAAAGGACCACTGAATCTGCAGGAGATCGGTATTACTGCTCTGAAGTCTTAAATATTTCTTGGCTACACTTTGACCCACATAAAGGGAAAGAGTGCTGTTTGATTTGTTTGGTCTCAACTCATAGGGACCTAATGGATGTTATTCACCGAACAGTAGGAAGGGCAGATGTTCTTAGATTCTCCGTCCATTGCCGTTCAGAAGGGGATGGTGTTCACTGTCCCCTTTACTCTCCTCTGAAACTGACTGGAGGTGTGTCGTTGCAGGCTGGGGGTTCTTCGTTGGCGTCGGCTCCAGTGTCCGCCTTCTCTCGCACTTCTGTCACGCCATCCAATCAGGACATCTGCAGGTAACGCTCTGCTTCAGATGTTGCCGTGGTTCACATGACATCCCAGAAATAAGCATTAGTGCCTGTAGGTTCTCGATTTTCCATTTGCTTGGTCAGAATGCCTTTGCTCTAAACAGCTGGCCCAATTTTATGTGCTGTTTGCTCACCAAGTTACCACATGAGTCTCATTTCTTCACTTTGATGTCTATTCTCTTTTAAGATTGTTTTTTACTTTCTGTGCTTTTATTCCACTGTTCTCTGCATGCAGTTCCAGTGCAGTGTGTTCTGAGTGTTGTCACCAAAGTCCCGTGCAGTCTGCCGTTGTCTTGAAAGCTCCTCAATGCCAGAGTTCTCTGACACAAGGGCTCACTGTGACAGTTATCTGTAAAGACACATTGTCAAAGAGAAATTCCTGTGGTTCAGAATGGACCCAGGCCTTGAAGCCTGCTGACAATACCAAAGCCAGAAGAATACTAAAGTTCTCAAAATCCCTAAACGATGTGGGTGAGAAGCCCCAGAACACTTCGGAAAGTTTTGACTATGTGGAAAGAACTCGCTCCGAAGGGAAATTGATACTCCCTCAAGATCCAGGTCTCAGGATTAACAGGTTCCATCAGAAGGAGAAAAAAGCGCAGCATCACAAACCTCTTGGCAGTTCCAAACATTCTTGCGTTTCATCCCTTTCTGCCAACCGTTCAGTTGCCTCAGAGGTGGAAGCTGGCAAGGGGGGCATCCACGTCCCTCTTTTGGAAGAGAGAGCGGATGCTGAAGCTGTGTCCAGGAGCCGGCGACTGCTCCGGTACCTGTTCTCGCTCTCGCACGGCTCGAGCGCCAGCAGCCTGCACAGGTTCCATGAGCTGGAGGGCTGTGCCGCGCCCCTGCACACCGCCAAGTCCTCCAGCGGGCTGGCAGGGAGCATGGGCTTCTGCTCCGATGAAATGGGAGACGACGATGTCTTTGAGGACAGCGCATCTGCAAAATGGAAGAACAAGGTCCTGCGGGCACCCCTCTGCTCAGTGGAGAAGGACAGTGACCTGGATTGTCCTTCTCCCCCCTCTGAAAAATGCCCCCCCATATCTCCTGTATCCACATCAGGGGATGCCTGCAGGTTGGTTTGCCAAGAACCATCATTCTGGCCATCTCTGCTCCCCATACCTCTGTGGCCTCATCTTGCTTTAATATGTGAAGTTTCAGGAAAATGAAGTAATGGGTGGTTATAGACAATTGTGGGTTAATAATTTTCTCCAGAAGAATGGAGTATTGGTATCATTTGAAAAACCATTTTTATGACATGGGTCCCAAGGTAGTTTCACAGATGATAAAAGAGGGAGAAGCTACACATATTAAAGGCCAAGCTGACTCTTCTCAACCAAAACTAAGTAGACTTTGCTTAAGGAGATTGGAAGAAAGAAAATAGTGTCTCCAGTTTTCCAGCTTGATGATCTAGACGTTAAGCCTTGGCGGCCCCTCCCAGCCTCATTTTTGCCCTTTGTTCCACTTGCAACACAGTGTGCATGGGAAGAGGCCGTTCTTCAGTACCATCTGCCTTCCTTCTTTTTAACTTGGATGCAGCCACCTCTGCCCTCATCCTTTCTCCACTTCCGCCCTTTGTCTTCCTGTGTGCAAGCATCCTTGTCTGGCCTCCGGAACCTTTCAGAATTTGCTTTTTGTCACCAGGCTCATACTTTCCCCATTCTAGCCTTTCCCTAGGCGCCCCTTCTCCAGGCCAGCTGGTACATTTCTAACAGCTGTCTCCGAAACCTCTCTCACAGAAACAAAGTGCTGAGAGTCTGGCCAGGGCCAGGACCTGGCTGCCCCCAGGTCAGGTGTCCCTACCTGCTCTCCAGCTGTTGGAAGAGACCCTTCTATTTCTCACAAGTCTAAGTTCTTTGAGGTTAGTAGCTATATCCTCTTGTGTGCACCCTTAGAAGCCATGAATGGTTTAAAATTCTCATTTCCTCAAAAAAGAAATAAAATTGCAGCCCCTTATCATGGGGTTTTTGGGTCCAAGAGAGGTTCTGTGTTTTCTCTGTTTACTCTCTGAGGGAGGACGGAGACGTGTAGTTGTGTGTGAAGGTGAAATTAGTGATTATAGATAAAAAGCAGATTTATCATCTTTTTAAGTCACCAGTAATTTTGGAAGGTAGAGTGCTGGTTTTGTTTCACACAGAAATTTTTTCCCCTGATTATTTTAACATGTTCTGAAAGATGCTTCCATGTTGCCTTAAATTCGTCTTTCAGTGACATTTTTAAATCTTCCCAAAAATGACTGCTTTGTCATTTCTTATATCATTTTTTCCTCTCTGATGCCAAATGCCATCCAGACTTTCCATGTTGGTACGGTAAGCTAGAAGCTCTTAGCTTGTAGTAATCGTTCTCATCCGTGTCTGTGCGTTTTTGTGCTTGTAGTCGTTTCTGTGATGTTTGTCGCTGAAAGTTTTCTTTGGGGGGGGATTGACCTTCCCCCGAAGCGTCCTCTTCCCCTGTCGTGTGGCCCTCCCGGTAATGACTGGCCTTCCTTTGCTGCAGGATCTGCCACTGTGAAGGGGATGACGAGAGCCCTCTGATCACCCCCTGCCGCTGCACAGGGAGCCTCCACTTCGTGCACCAGACCTGCCTGCAACAGTGGATCAAGAGCTCCGACACGCGCTGCTGTGAGCTCTGCAAGTACGAGTTCATCATGGAGGTCAAGCTGAAGCCTTTGAGAAAAGTACGTGTGAGGACACGTTCAGAAGTGCTCTCGCCTTGCTGAGACGAGGGCCCTGGGAAGAGTTAGCACCTTGGACTGGATGAAGCCGTAGCTTGCTTGTGTTCATTTCTGTAAGAAGTGGGGGCTGTGCATACATTCGTGCTACAGAGGTCATCGTTTCCGTTTCTGATTTCCCACTCCCTCCTCTCAGGAAGAAGCTCTTTCTGACCATTCAGTCCTAATGTGTTTTTCCGTCAAACTAAGACTGGTTGCTTATCTGTGTCAGTCATTTGGCCCTTGGCCACAGACTGTTTTGTGACATCTTAGCAGTTAACTTTGTACATATTGACTGCTCACGTCTTGCCTCTGAGTAGGACTGTACATCAGACATCAACTAGTATCTCTCCCTGACACAGAGTACATAATGAAATAGTAAATTTGTATATATTGTGATAAATATTTGCTAGTTGGCAGGGTGAGGGTGGATGGGAAAGGAAAGGAACCCCAGGCCTTACATAAAATGCACCTCTCTTTAGGCCCCAGGTCACTGCCCCCTCTGAGCGAGCCTGATCTGGCAGCTGCCGCCCGTGTAATGGTTTTCAGTGTGTCTTTCTGTGTGCCAGCATACAAGGTTTTGTTTGGAAGAATGAAAGACTTGTTCTTATCTCGGAATCTCAATATGTCAGTTCAAGGAAAATCACATGATCAAATCGAAACACCTGACAGTGCGAAGGGAACGAAGATTAAGTCGCGGCGGAGCATGTCCAACAGTTCAAGGAGGAAGCATTGGTTGTGGGCTGGAGCGCTGGGGGAGGGGAGCGGTGGTAGCTTCACAGAATGTTTGGGTGTTGAAGCCGTTCTTGAAGGAGCAGTAGGATTTGGAGTACAGCGAAAGGAGTTTAGAGAGGTCACGTTGTCTGTGAAGAAAAGCATACACCGAAAAGGTGAGGGTGAGCATTTCAGGACCGTGTGGAAGGCTTGGACTGAGTGTGTCTTGGGAAATAGCCGGAAATCAGGGAGCAGAGAGCATTTTAGGAGGGAAGCCAAATGAAGATACCGTATAAAACCACAGCAGAAAGCCATCTGGATGTTGGAGAAGACAGCTGCAAACTACTTAAAAAATGTTTTGCCCCATAAAAATAGAATTTGTTGGATACCTACTCTGTGCTGGCCTCTCAGGTGAGATGTGTAGCCTTTGACCAATATAGACAATCTAGGAGGCTGTACTTTCAGCTTATCCTATATAGAACCATCTGGGAAGTGGCTGTGATTAGGGCTGGCCAAGGATATGCAGAGTGTTTATGCTTTGTTCTTTTTCTCTACCCTTATATGTTTTCTTCTGATTTGGAAAGCAGTAAATGAAAAAGAAAATCTGGCTATTTGGAGCAAATTAATGAGCTCCTAGAGGAGATGGGACTGGCAGAGCCTGCTTATACCAGGAACTCTTAGCATCGATTTCAAGCTGTTGCTGCCAAAGTAGCAAAGGACCAAAGAGTGAGCGCCTTCCGCCATCACTGTCACAATGTAGTGTGACCATCTGCTAGTGTGTTGTGGTGTCATCAACCCTCTTCCCCTCGCTCATGCAAGTCAGCAAGGCAGGGAGGTCTCATGTGTGCCACCTGGGTCTGGGGCCAACATGCCGTTTTCATCAGGCCGAAACCTAGAGTCCTTTAGCTAGCCATTAGTTGTTTGCCTGCAAGAATAAGCAGACAAAAGGATTGATTGGTGGTTGTGGTTCATAGCTCATCTTGATCCCAGCTTCTTTTCATTGCATACAAAGTTGGCTGTCGACAGAATACCAGTGCCTGGTACCTAGTTGAAGCCAAGTGGTTTAAAGAGAATGACTTGTAGTATTTGGGGAAATTCATCTAGATTGGGGAAAGGGGAGCGGGGGAAAGCCAGTCTTACCCATCTACAATGCTGTCACCTTCATTGTAGCCCTTTACATTTGGGGGCCTACACCTCATGCTCTGCGTGTTGTCTTTCCAGTGGGAGAAGCTGCAGATGACGGCCAGCGAGCGCAGGAAGATCATGTGCTCAGTGACATTTCATGTCATCGCCATCACCTGTGTGGTCTGGTCCTTGTATGTGCTCATCGACCGCACCACTGAGGAGATCAAACATGGACAGGCAACAGGTATGTGCTCAGAGTGACAGGTGAGCTCGGTATGGAGATCGGGTAACACGCTGGGGTCATAGGATTGGAGTGTTACTCCAGATTGGTATTTAAGTCAGACTTCAGATGTCTGGGTTTCTGGAGTGAGAGCATTAATTATGAGGTACCAAGCATCCTTTTCGGATGATTCTCTTGCTGTGGTGAGTAGTTTTAAAAAAACCCAGTCAGAAGAGATCAAATCAGGGAAGGAGAGAATCTCTGCAGACTGTTTCCTAGAAGAGCACGAGGATGAGAGAGAGTGGACACCAAGGACACCCTGCCTTTGGTGAAACTAGATGGATGAGTGAAGAATCCATTGGTTACTGGAAGGTCAGCAGTTGTGTTTAGTTACTTCAGATCTTAAATTAGGTGTGCTGATAGACTAACTGGGTTTTTCCCCTTCCAGGAATCCTAGAATGGCCCTTTTGGACTAAATTGGTGGTTGTGGCCATCGGGTTTACTGGCGGACTTCTTTTTATGTACGTTCAGTGCAAAGTATACATACAATTATGGAAGAGACTCAAGGCTTATAACAGAGTAATCTATGTTCAAAACTGTCCAGAGACCAGCAAAACGAATATTTTTGAAAAATCTGCACTAACAGAGCCCAACTTTGAAAATAAAGATGGACCTGGAACCTGTCATTCCGACACAAACTCTTCTTGTTGGACAGAACCTGAAGACACTGGAACCGAAATTGTTCATGTCTGATTTTGTGGAGGGTGTAGTTTTCCTGGACATCGATGAACAGCTGAAGGAAATTGTTTACTGCCAATTCTGTACCTTTTTTTATGTCCTTTAATAGCATAGACCAGGCAGGTGACTGTTTTTTTAATGGCTTCTCTTTTTCTAAACCCTCCTTAGTGAATCTCCCAGAAAGCCCTCACATTGGCTGTGCGTGGCGGGGTCCCACTTCTGCCAGCACTTCCACGGGAAGGGAGGCCCCCCCTGACACTGTGAGGGGTTGCTGGCTGGGTTCTGGCCCACGAAGCCTTGAGCAGTGAGAGAATAAAATGCCGGACCCTGAGAAGAGCAGGAGCCGGGTGGCACCCTGGCCTCGGCGCCCTGCCTCTCCCGGTCAGCAGCAGTCCCCCCACTGGAGCAGAGTGTGTGGGAATGTCTAGTCATGCCAGAGGATTTCCCTCCTCACCAAGAAGAGCCTGGGGAGATGATGATGCCACTGATGTTTCTCCCGAGCAGACCGGGCAGTGGTGCTCTGTGCATGGTGGCGAGTGATTCACTGAGCAAACAGCACTTTACAAAAAGAGAATCTTTATTTTGTAGTATGTGTGTCCAGTGGGATTGACATTTAAAAGAACGTCTCATTTAGAAGCCTTCCCTTCATGACCCTGATTACCTATCTCTTTTACGTTATGATAGATCTAAAACCCTTTTTGCCTTATATATTCTAAGAAACCTGACATCTGCTCTGTGTCCATAAAAGGAACTTGTGGCTATAAAACTGGATAAACAGGCCTGAGGCTTTTTCATAATGTTTCATGAGAATTAATGAACACCAGATGGCAATTTGAGCATAGTTCCTGTGGTTTCAGGCCTATTATATGGCAAGTCTTCATGTCACAGGCCTGCCCCAAATATTTTTTTTTTTGTCAACACTGAAAAAGAAGGTTTTGTGAGATCTAAACAAAAGGAAGGAAGTGAGTAATTAGAACAAAACTGAATGTTTAAAAATGATTCCTTTATGGACAACCTCTCCGGTTCATGCTGGCTTCACACTGACGGAGTGAGCACGCACTGCCCTGGTCTGGGGCACGCACACTGCAGGCACTCCTGGGCGCCGGCCACCTTGGACAGCTTCTCCTGGGTGGCTCTGTGGATCACTGCTCAGGGCAGAGAGACAGACGGGCTGGCTCTGGGACAAAGGCCAGGAGCGAGTAGCAAACTGCCATGGCCCCACTGGGTCACTGCCCCCAGCCACACCTCCACCCATTTATCGCCTTAACCGGACTGGACAGCGAGGACCCTTTAGGGGCCCCTGGCCCTGTAATCAGTTCGTTCTGTCATCAGGGATTATCTCCTGTACCATTTTCATAAGACAAAACCAAACTCACCACCATCAAATGGCCTTTGTCCCTTTAAAAAGTCTGCTTAAAGTTCTGTTTTTAAAAACCCGTTTCTCTGCACCAGGTAAATAAGAGTCATCTCCAGAAAAATAGGCCAAGAGGGTCTGCAGTGTAACATCATCATGCCCAGAATACTTCCTCTCCAGGTGACTCTGCATCTGCAGAGCCTCCTATAAGGGGAAGGCTGCTTGGGTGGGGGAGGGGGTGTCCTGCCCTCAGCCCTCTGAACCTTAGGTGCCCCACCTGTCCTGTTTTGAGGATGAAGCAAACACAAGATGATTCCTTTGCCTTTCAGACTGGAAGTGCTGTGGTTAGTTTTGAAAGCCAGGACGAGGCCGAAGTGTGTCTAAGCTCTGGGAAGGGCGTGTGGTAGCAGGCTTTGCCCTGCCACCTCCTCCCACCCAAAGTCTGACTCATCAGGATCACGGATCCCTGTCTAAGGATCTGCTCTGCCGTGGCCTTCCTCTGGTTGGGCAGGCACTATCCAACCATGGCAACCCCTGAAAATAGGTCAGCCTGCTCTCGCTCTCTCGCGGTCTCTATCGCGCTCTCTCTCGCTCTCTTGTCTCCCAGGCCGCATCCGGTCCGCGCCTGTGTTCACTGTGCCCCAAGTGCAATTACCCACACCCCTTCTCAGCCTGGGGACTCCAGGCAGCTACACGCTGTCCACTCAGGGGAGCTGAGTCCTGGTCAGCCCTGCCTCTACCCCTTAGAAACTGCCCAGGCAAGGCCTCTTGTCCCTGCCGTCTTCTTACAGCGAATGAGTAGTCACGTGAAGACTGGGATAGAATTTTAAGTGAGAATCCTTCCCCTCTCCCCTGATGGAGGCCCTTATGCTGAAGCTGAAAGTCACTGAGACTTCCTGCGGATGGGAAAGTGTGCTTTAGGTAAGGATAGCTGCTGGGCCGCCCACCTGTCATGGCTGGCACCCCGTAGAGCAAAGGTGCCTTTATAACCACGACTGCTGTGTTGCTCCCATGCCTGACCAGGTTGTCACGTGAAACTCTTACTTCTTTTCAGGAAGGCCTAACACCATCTCATCACCTCCACCAAACTCCTAAAAGCCTTCTGCCTGGGGACAGTCCATCCCACGTCCTTCTTTCCTGTCCTGGGATGGCACACAGATGTCCCCTTGCCTTTCTCTTTTCTTGTAGGTTCTAGTTGAGCTCCTCTCACCCCTTTCTTAGTCCCGGCCGTATTCCCCGCCGACTGAACTGGGAAGCCAGAAGCCCTGGAAAGGTGCTGTGCTGCCATCTAGTGGGGGAAGCAGATCTGCCAGGTGTACCTTTAATCCACATCAGCTTGCCCTCTAGTTCTTTGGGGGTTATTTATTCCCTAGTCTCCCCGCCCCTCCCATTCTGCACCTGGCTTTGTGGGAGGATGACACTTGGCTGAACCAGAAATGTGGGATGAGCCTATGGGTCTGGGGGCCAGGCAAAGGGGAGAGGGAAGTGGCTCAGGGGTGTGGCCAGCTAGCTCCCTCTGATTTGGCCTTTGCTTCCCCAAAAGGTACAGTATGGCTCGAGGGCTTCTGACTTTGGCCGCCAGCAATAATTTGTTTTTTTTGTGTGCCCGAGTTGATTTTAAGAATTCCTGGAAACTATAAAAAGGTCTCATCCTGCTCCAGGCCTCTATGTCTCCTCCCTTTTCACCTCCTTCCACCGTTTTCAATCTTATGGGTCTAGTTTTCAACCTTGCTGGCGTGCCCTCCCTGGCTCCAGACATGCAGGCCCCAGGCAGTGGGCCAGCACAAGCGCATCAGGTAGTGCCTGCACAGTTAGGGCTGCTTCTGCTGCCTGGTGGGTCAGCCACACGGCTGGCGGAGGCCTGCAAACAGCAGGGCCGAGATCCACGATGCTGTGCACTTGGCCTGATGCAAAGACACTTTTTGAATACTTTCCCTTTTAGATCTGATTTGAAACATGCAGCTTCCCTCTCCAGCCCAAGGAAAGACCGAAACATAAGGGAAGAAAAGGATTTATCTTTGTTTTGGAAGTAATTAAGTTGTGCAGCTATTTACCTATTTAGATGCAACATTTATAGAAAGCTGATTGTTAATAAAAACCAAATTTACACTGGCATGTGTGGTGTAGTTTCTAAAAGGCACTTCACATTTGAAGACTTTCTTAACTTGGAAACTTTCTAGTTCTCTAAATGTCTGGTTTTGTATCCTTTTGTGTATGTTCACTGTTTCTCAGTATTACCACTTGAATAATTCTCTGGGGGGTTGTTTCTGTTATATACGGGGTGTCTAATTGCAGCAATAAAGCATCTCTTTAAAAAGGAGTTTTGCCATGAAAGTATTTTCCTGCAAAAAGCCTGGGAACACTGGCAGGCATTCCAGTGGTTCTGATCCCCTTTCCCCATTCCTCTGGCTTGCACGTTGGGAAAGAAAATCACACAACCTCTGGAGGTATCTGTTTTCCTCAGCCTGTCCCTGCAAGGGGGGGGCGATTCCCCCAGACGCTGGTGGTTGGTGAGGACAGGGTGGTTTCAGGGGTGCAAGCATGGGAGTGAAGACCGAAGTAGCTCACACAGGTGTGCTGCTTTCAAACATCCAGGCTCTACTTGGACTCCATTCCCTATGAGAAGCCAGATTCAAGTTCAGGATCGGTATGCTAGTGGGACCATTGGAACAGATTATTGCCTTACTGGCCTTATCTGTTGAAACAGTTACTGAGCCACAGCCTAGCTGAGGAGGGGACCCAGGGAGGACCAGCAGGATCTCTGGCAATAGTTTGGCCTGGCTGCCTCTCCCGGCCTCCAGCAGAGCTTCCTGTGTTGTGGTGTTGCCTCCGGGTCTCGAGACTGCAAACTGCTCACAGGGCTGTAAGCGCTGAGGACAGCCCCTGCCTTTACCTGTGTGCATGAAGTGAAAACAGGCCAGGATTGCCCTGTATATACTGTACTCTAGGTGAGCCCAGAGGATTCGTCCACCCGTTAAGGGTACAGTAGTACCTACCAGGAGACTTTGGAGCTAAGCAGGAGGATATTTGGCCAAGTGTCCTTGCCAGTCTTCTGAAGCTGTTGAGGCTTCTGGAGGAGGATACGACCACGTAACAGCTGAACAGGTACGTGCTTGTGGGAGAGGGGGGAGCCGGGAGGACCCCTGAGCTAAAGTGCTCAACTATTGGCTGGAGGGGTTGTAGCAGGATTCTCACCCAGAGAGTTCTGACACTGAGGCTTTTCTTTCCAGGAAGCAACTTTATTCGTGCCACCACCTCTCAGTTGGGTTCGTACCCAAAGGACTGAGCCCCGAGTGCCACATGGCATAGTTTTTCATATATTTTTTACTTCTTTGTCTCCCATATGAGGTAACACACAAACATTCAGTCTGATTAAGTGGTCTCATGTTACAGTGTCGGGAGCAATGTTGTCAAGTACATGAATAGCAAGGTTGCCTTTTGGATTTTGTTTGTGTGTTTGTTTGTTTTGCCCTTAGGGAGGGGACCCTACCACCGGGTGAAGAGGGTGGAGCTGAAAGAAGAATCTGCTTTTGTGAGAATGTGAGGTGGGGGACACTGAGGGGAGCCTCTCTTCTTTGGGGGATCCACTGAATTTGATGAGTTTGGTTGCAGAGATGCCTTGTTGTGCACAGGCTTGATGATGCTGTCCCCAGGCCTTTCTGCCCTTTAACACCAGCCACAAAGTGGGGGTGTGAGGGGCTGCAGGCACACTTCCA